GCTTTCATCCATAGATGCTTCTCAAGCAAATCCCGGGACGTCATTCTCCCCCTGTACTCGGCCTTAGTGAGGCCGGAGCTGGAGTACTGTGTCCAGTTTTGGGCTCCACAATTCAAAAAGGATGTGGAGAAGCTTGAGAGAGTCCAGAGAAGAGCCACGTGCATGATCAGAGGTCAGGGAAGCAGACCCTACGATGACAGGCTGAGAGCCCTGGGGCTCTTTAGCCTGAAAAAGCGCAGGCTCAGGGGTGATCTGATGGCCACCTACAAGTTTATCAGGGGTGACCACCAGCATCTGGGGGAACGTTTGTTCACCAGAGCGCCCCAAGGGATGACGAGGTCGAATGGTCACAAACTACTTCAAGATCGTTTCAGGCTGGACATAAGGAAGAACTTCTTTACTGTCCGAGCCCCCAAGGTCTGGAACAGCCTGCCACCGGAGGTGGTTCAAGCGCCTTCATTGAACACCTTCAAGATGAAACTGGATGCTTATCTTGCTGAGATCCTATGACCCCAGCTGACTTCCTGCCCTTTGGGCGGGGGGCTGGACTCGATGATCTTCCGAGGTCCCTTCCAGCCCTGATGTCTATGAAATCTATGATGTCTATGACTTAATTAGGGAAATATTCATTGGCCCAAATGCTCATTTACATTAAGATTTGCTACATATCTGAGATTACATTTGATTAGTGGTATGAAGGGACTTCCACATGAGAGACTAAAGAGGCTGGGTCAATTCAGTTTAGAAAAGAAATGCTTGAGGCAGGGACACTGGCGACACGTAGGGGGGGTGCATGTGCACCACGTGAGATCAGCCGTACACCTCCTGGAAGTGCCAGCCATGAAACTGGAAGTGCAGACTTAGGGGGCACCAGTCACCCATGGGCAGGGACATGATAAGAGTTTACAAAATACTAAATGGTAGAGTAAAAAAAGAATGTATTATTTACTATCTCTCACACCAAAAGAATTGTGAGGTAGTTAGTTTTAAACTAACAAAAAGGAAATTCTTTTTCATGTAGCGTGTAACAAGTGTGGAACTCACTGCCACCAGATGCTGCAGAAGCTGACAGTTTAGCCAGATTCAAAGGGGACTGAACAAGTTCTTGGAAGCAAGGTCCATCAGTAACTAATGAGCATAAGAGTTAGGGGTGCAGCCACTGAATCAGAACTTCCTAGACCTTCAATGCTGGAGGCTGCAAGTGGGAAAGGAATGGCAGAAAAAACCCTGGTCGTACCAAGTTCACTCTCCTTTTCACCATCCACTCTCTGCCACTGTGTGACACAGGACAGTGGGCAAGATGGACCTATGGGCTGACCCAGTAAATGGCAGTTATGTTCACTTGCCTTATGCCCCCTGCCTACTACCAATTAGCATAAATGAGACTATGGCTACGGCTATTTTTGTAATTAATGACAGCAGTACTAGAATTCTGGAATCTAAATACCTTGGTACAGCATTCATATCAAAGCTGTCAGGAGCTACAGGGTCATACATATTTTTTCACTGAGATTCAAGTGAGATTTTTAAACTGATTTTGTACATTGTAAGAGATCAACTTGAGATTAAAGTTTAGTGGTAGTTTTCTGCACTCATGCAAAGAAAACCTGGGTTCAGTTTCCATTCTCATCCTACCCCAAGGAGAACTGCTGATGCGGTTCATTTAAGACCCTTCATTGAGAAGATAGGCATGACTTGTGTTCCTTTATAGCAGTCTTTTTGAGGTAGATCAGCAGCATAACTATCATAACCTGAAGGAATTTATATAGTTCTTGGTTAAGAAAAAGGGGAAATGTAGGAAGAGATTCCCAAGATGGGATTCAGAGAACCTCTCTGGTCTTCTATAAATGGCAAAAATTCAGAGAGTCAGTCAAGTCAGTCAAATAATGAACTGTAAAAATGTAATGGTCTTCATTTTAGAAGGGACAGTATATTCTAAGCTTCACCTCTTCAGAATTATCAACTGCTCAGGGTAATCACAGTAATTAAAAATGGAGGCTAGGCACTCACTTAAGTAAAAACAAACAAACAAACTGTTATGGCATTAAAAAAAAAGCATTACAACTCCTTTCCAGGTTCAGAAAGGGTAGACAGGAAGAAGTAGCCAAACAACTGCAGCAAAAGGTCAAAGGGAGGTCCACAGCTCCCTGCAACTGGAAAAGGCTATTGGAAGTCAAGGGCAGTCACAATGCAGATGAACTGAACAGAAGACGAAGCATGTGTCCTAAAGATATGCAGGCAAGGGAGATGAGAAGCTGCTTCTCCATCCCCCTCTTTGGAGTGGGAGGCATCTCAGTGAGCACAAAGAATCCCAATATAGCTCCATGACAGGGAAAAGGCTCTAACCACTTCCTCCCTCTAGCACTCAAACCGCTCCTGGACTAGGAAGCCCCCTACTAACACAATTGGGAGAAGATGGAAGTAGTAGTGCAGGCTGTGTCAATCCCAGCTCCTTTCCAAGCACAGGAATCCACCTTCCTCTATGTTATTTTGGCCACTAGTCATATGAGCACCCCTGCTCTTATGTCTCAGAATAGAGAATGACCATTCTGAAGGCAGGATTATTAATGGAAGGCTGAACAGCTTCAAATTTTCCCCTTCAAATTAATTTGAATCAAGCTAATCCTGCTCTCCAGTAGTTGGAGGTTCTGCCTGCCACATACTACAAAAGAATCTTGCTTCATTAATCTAAAAGGCGAAGATGGAAAGAAAAGCAAAGAAACCAAAAGAGAGAATATACCTTGTTTATCTTCTCTTTTGGATGTGTCAGGAGATTTGGGAAGTGAGACAGAACATCACAGTTGAGAACAACTTGCGTCTGTTCATCCGTACCAGTTACTATGTTGCCTACTGCTCTCAGGGCTGCTGTCTACATTTGAAGGAAAAAAGACATTAATTATTACAGATATTGTCACTACTTGTGCTCATACAAGGACAATTCCAAAAAAGAATACCCCTTTATAAAATTTGGTATTTTGTTTTCCTACTATGCTCAGAAATTCACAGAAGATAAGCAGAGGTAGAGTTCCTGCACAACCACCCATTCCCAAAGTGAAAGAGCAGGGTCCAATGTTTTCCTGAATTAAAGCATTCCTATTTAAGTCAAAATGCCAAGGGTAGAAAGTCAATACATTTCGACAAAAGGAGGAAAGACCACAGTTAATTCACAGGTCTGATTTGAGTTGCATGAAACAATGCTATGTTTGGTCCGTATTTCCCTTGGTTGCCACTTCTATTGCTGTAGTACGGACCTGAATTGAGAAGACTTTTTAAAATTTCTATGGAGCAGACTAAAGTTGCTTTCAAAGTGGACTTTAGTTTTTTATGTTTTGGCCTGGTAACACCTTAGAGTTGACACGATGTATAAAAAAATAATTTTCATTAAATGAATTTGCTTGACAAATCTCAAAAGAGTCAAATTTCAAAGTATGACCTAAGCAAACAAGACAAATATACAAATAGCATAGCAAGTAAGTCATTTTGTGCTATTTGCTATGGCTTCAGAGTACTGACTTATAGCCTAGCCTCTAGTTTTCCTGTTTTTGAAGCTGGCAAGAATTCATCAGTTTTCTTATCTAAATACCAACTTTAGTAAAGGAGTATGGCACCTGACAGTTTATTTTCATACTCAAAAGGTCCCAAAGTAATAATTCTGATTTCCTTTCATTAAATATTAGTATACGCAGCAGTCACCTTTGCCCCTATACACTTGGGACTACAGGCACCAAATAACTGAAGCTAAAGAATTAAAATCAACAATACCTTCTTATAGTGAAATAATAGATGAAAAATAGCACTTCAGATAGCCTGGTTCTGATACACCACGTCTTTCAAACCATAATAGATTAGTACATACTTTAGAGATTGTATTATATTTGTCATAATGAGGAAAATATAAAGTACCATTTTTGTCAATATGTCCCGTCTCTAACATGCAACTTCATGATTATATACTTATTTTCCAGATCTTCTGAAACATAATGAAGATTTTTGTTTGGTTTTTCTCAATCTGATAATTTGAATAGATTAATTGAAAACAATTCAAGTTTCATCTAAGACTGGAATGCTCAAAAAAGAATGAAGAATACAAGTAGGAGGGAAGTTTGCAAGCTAAGGAAAAGCTGAGTCTCAGAATATCACTGGCTTCCTTTTCTGAGGGAAAAGAGCCTGACAGCAAAGGGAGATTATTAAGGAGAAAAAGCGAATTTTCTTAAAGCTAATTAAGGAGAAAAAGTTCATTACTGTCATCTTTTAACAAAATAGAAAACACGTAAAAGAGAGAAAGGAACATCAAACTTGGAAAAAAACCCTAAATTTATAAAGAAGACTAAATAAAAGTATGAGGATCTAGAACAAAGCTTAATGTTTAGCAAATTTTAAATTATGAAAAATAAATGTTATTTATGTTTTTATTATTCTTGACATCACAAAATAATGTACATCTGACAAGCACTCAAGAGAAGTCAAATATACATTTTAGTAGATACAATTTCATTGCCACATCATCTTCTTTATGTTCATGCAAGATAGTATGCAACTGTCTTCCCTGGACAAAAGGGATGTGCTTTCTAGATATTTTAACCAACATGTATTAAAAACTTAGTTCATGCTAGGAATATTTAACATTTGTTAGCCAATAAGAATTAGCTTTCAGAGGAAGTCTAGGATTGATTCCCACCCACACATTTTAAAAAAATGCAAACTTCCCCATCCATGCTAGAACTAAAATATTTCAAAATAACTATTTCCTAGTCCAGATGCAAGGTTTGTGGTTTGCTTTTATCTGTAGATAATCTACTTGTAAATTCTAATTTTAATGTTCCACAAATGTTTGTTTTAGGACCCATGCCATTTGGTAAATAACTTAAAGAAATATTCCAATGCAAAAGAAAACAGACTCACTTGAACTTTAACCTCTTGATGGCTCAGAAGAGGAACTAGAAAAGGTACAACACCTGAATCAATCACCATCTGTATCTGTTCATTACCACCATCTGTTAGGTAGGACAAAGCCCAAACAGTGTCCACGAGAATCTATATATTGAAAAGAACAAAATTCATATAGAGTTGCAAGATCACAATTGTATACATTCTAATTAATGATCAACAGTCCATGTACCTCTTTGGAAATAGAAGAACATGCAATTTACTCCAAAGAGCTCAACAATACAAGAAAAAAAAAAAAAAAAAAAAATCAGTAAAATGTTAGCAACTGTAATTGTGAAATAGATAATCGTTTGCCCCGCTACATGAGTTTCCAAGTGTTTCATGTACCCTTCCTCCCCGTCCCCCAACCTTTTAACTAAAAATATTTTAAGGGTAGTTCAAGAACACTATCTTGATCAGATTTCATCAGCACAAGATGAGAAGAGTTGGGCTTGGTCAGCAGGGCTGGCCTACAATTTTTGGGGCCCCCTGCAAGAAATAGTTTGGGACCCCTGCTCCAAAGAAGCCAGCAGCAGGGGTGATGAGCAGCCGAAGAAGCCAGCAAGGGGGGGGGGCAGCCAGACACAGGGGGCCCCTTAGCTGTGGGGGCCCCCTGCAGCAGCAGGTTTGGCAGTATTGGATGGCCTGGCCCTGTTGGTCAATATCTTTGTGGATAACCACCAAGAAAAATCCAGATGAAAGAAGAGCATATGGTGATTTTGCAGGCAGATCTTGAGACAGTACGGAACTGTTCCCTCAGTACTAAGATTGCTAATATACATGCTCTCCTTTGATTACAAAAGTTGACTTGTAATCTTATTAAGATATACATACGTAGTGCTAACAGGAATCTAGTTATATATAACTAGTTATGATTCCTGCCTGATGTTTGGTAGCTGCTATCTGTGTCAAAGTGCAAACTCTGTTGTGAATGCAGAGCTTTGTTGCCTTTCCTGCTATCTTTTGTTTGCACTCTGAAAGAAGCCCACAGGAGGTAAAAGGTGGAATTCTTGCACCTGGCACAGAGCTCAGAGAGGGCTGTCAAGCTTTGATGATCATCTATTCAAATGGAGACTCCTTGAACAAAGGGACAGCTACAACCCAGTGCAAACTAGCTCTAAGTCTAAAACCAAGAGGGCTGGTGACTCCTAGATAACCTAACAAGGGTGATCCCAGGGTCTCCAGACAAAGGGGCTAGAGATTATAAAGAAAGGATCACATCAGGTATTTGAGAGAGAGGGAGAAGGGATCAGAAGCAAAAAGCTGACTGCAGAAATGAGGCAGTCAATCATTCAGAGAAGCTATGAGTCGCAGGCTGGAAATTCTGGACTCCAAAGAATCTCTGACTAAAGGCCAAAGAATACTTGAGAAAGTCAAGGACTCTGATGTAGGTAAATGCATACAAACCTGTATATTTCTTGTGCTAGGTAAAAGTGAGAGACTGTGTATTTGGAACTGTTACAAAGGGTGCCCATCTGCTTCCATGTCTGTAACTGTAAACCGGGACCACAAATAAGTTCAGAGCCTAAGGAAAAGCATGTGTAAACTACTGAAGAAATTGCATCACTGACTCATAATATCCTGGTCCCACAAAGGAGTTACAAAGAAAGCAAGCCTGTGCCCATGCTGCAGTGTATGGAGATCATGGAAGCTTAAGAGTGCATTAGACTGAGAGCTGTGGTACCCAGGCACAGCAGTCTGTTGAGTGTCCAGTCTCAGGAGCTTTGTTAAGGCTGTGACATTATCCTGTCTTAGTTTTAAGTGCTGAAGACACCATGCTAATGAGACTCCAATCTAAGACTTTCTGAATTCTAGGTCCAGCACTATTGTGTCACTTTCTGTTATAAACTGCCATACATTATATTGTGCTGTTAAAAACAGTTGCACCATTCCATTTCAGAGACTACTAGATAGCATTAGTATATGAACTGAATCAGGTGTTTTCAATCTAAACCCTGGTCAAATACACATTGGACTCTTCCAGGATTAACGATGCTTCGTAGTGGGGGGGGCAAGCCAGAAGCAATCCCCATAATTTAGGTTGATCAACATATTTCATTAACAGATTTTTCAACTAAGAAGCTGTCCTACAGCCATCATTTGCAATAGACCTTTAAAATTTATCAGAGAAGCCTACAGGGTAGACAGGTATTTTCAGCCTGTCCCATGAAATTCCATTCAGCTTTGGGCAAGTTATAAACTGTAAAGAACACTGCACGCAGTTTGGTGTCTACACCTCAAAAGGGTATAGAAGAATTAGAAAAGATACAAAGAAAGGCAACAAGGAAGATCGGAGGTTAGAAGGGCTTCTATATGACAGACTAAAAAGACAGGACTTTTCAGTTTAAACAAGAGACCCTTGAGGAGCAGACATGAAAGTAAAGTAGTTTCCAAAACAGTAAACGGTACAGAAAAAGTAAATAGGGATGTGTTATTTATGATGCAGCTGCACGAAAGGCAAATGTGGTTTTGGGATACATCAACAGAGGCATTAGGTACAAGACTACTTGGCACTAGTCAGGCCTTATTTAAAATATTGTGTAAAGTTTTGGGATCCACATTTAAAAAGGACATAGAGAAGCTGGAGAAGGTCCAGAGGTGGGCAATAAAGATTATACACCAAAAGCTGTGTTAACTGGTACTTTATTAGCCGGAAAACTCTATTAACCAGCATCCAAGGGATGTGGCAAAAGTGAAACCAGAAGTACCACTTTCAGGTTTCGCCATCACAAGCAGAGCTTTTCTTTGCCACCTCTTTGGCCCACAGCCCAGGGCAAAGCAGCCTGCATGGGGCAAAGCAGCCTGCACAGGGGCCCCCTCTCTGTCCCCCAGCGCACTGAAGCTGGGGAGAGCATCAGGCGGTGCACATTTGATTAACTGGACTATTTGATTAACTGGCATCCCCCATTCCCGGGAGATGCTGGATAACAGAGCTTTTACTGTAAAAGGCTTGGAAAGCAAGTAATCCAAGGAGAGGCTGAAGGTGCTGTGCATTTTTAGCTTGCGAGAAAAGTACTTAAGAGGGGACGTGATAGAAGAAAGCAGTGAGGCAGTGGAATAGACTGCTTAGGGAAGTTATGGACTGTCCATCACTAAAAGGTGTTCAAGGAGAGGTTGGACAGCCACTGATTATGGATAATCTAGGCCAGGGGCAACCTGCAGCACAGGTGCCAGAGTATGGCATGCAAAGACATTTTGCTTGGCATATGTGCCTCGGGGCAGATGGCAGGAAAGGGTCCAGGGCTGCACAGCCACAACAAGGATTGGGCCCGTCAACTCCCCTGCCATCCACCCCTGGCACACCAACACCTCACAAGTCAAAGTTGTGGGTATTTTTGGCACTCTGCCCAAAAATGCTACCGATCCCTGATTTGGGTACCTGTGCCTATATTCTTCCCATGCTTCTGGTCTTTGTCGGCTGCTGCATGGGGCTGGCTGGGAGGGAATTTTCATTCCCTCCAGCTCCCTCAAATGCTACATGTATCAGGGTTTTTTTCGTTTTTTAAACCTTCCTCAAAAGCATTGGGTATTGGCTACAGCCAAGGCTGGGGCTTTTGACTGGGGTGTGCCAACGCTCCTACTGGAACTTAAGCCTGAAAGGCTAGAGAATCTTGCCCCTCCATTCAGGGTCAGCCTGGTTGCCATTATTTGGGGTTAGAAGCAATTTTACTTCTCATGGTCAGATTGGTACAGGCTGTGGGGTTTTTGTCCTCCTCTGTAACAGGGGGTGGGGCATTCTTCCTACCTTTGCAATAGCAGGACATTGCTCACCCTGCTTTACCTGTGGCACGTTAGGGTGTTATGTGTTGCGTCCAAGCTGACTATGTAGTTCTGCTAAGAGGTTTATTTATTATGTTTATTATTTAGCATATGATAATACAGTAATCACAAAGCAAAATGAAAAATATTCACAATTATATCCAAATTTTGCAACCAGCTGATTGCCTTAGGTGTAGTATTGTGTAGATCCAATACAGTTCCATTAAACGCACAAAGAGAACATTCAGAGGTGATGTGATTCAAAGTCTGAAAAAGGGTGCTGTAATCGCAGGTCAATTCGGTGAGCTAGTCCAGCCCCACCAATGTAACAGAAATCCATATCTGGCATGTCCTGTACTGATTCAGTTTAGAGAAAACCAAAGATGTCTAGGGAGATCAAAGCCAGCTGGTGTAATGGTGGAAGTTGTAATGATAATTTCTGTATTAGGGGGGGGAAATTGAGCCAATCTTGCATCCAGGCATCTTGGAGGTTAAATAAGTCTTGCTCAAGTTGAACTGATGTTCTCCAAGTGGGATGTCTAGATTTAAATCTTGGAATTGGTGGGTTTAAGAGATCCTCATGTATATGCGGCTGCTAAGAGGTTAGATAATGGATTTGTATAGATGGCTTTGATGGGGATGATCCTGCCTCAGGCACAGGCTGGACTAGATGACCTCTCGAGGTCCCTTCCACCCCTACTTCTCTTTGATTCTATGGATGTCTCAATACTAGAACTGGGACATAAAAAAAATAAAATAAAATAATCAAACTATTAGATAGTAGGTTTAAAACTAATAAAAGGACGTTCTTTTTCACACTGCACATAATTCTGGACAAACCCTATTCACCTTCCTCCTCAGCATCCACACTTTGCCACTGTGACAGAGAGGATCCTGGGCTAGATGGACCTATGGTCTGAACTAGCAAATGGCATTTCTTATTTTCTTCTGTAAAGCCCTTAAATAAAGCCCTCTTACTGCCAGTTAAGCCTGTGGCTGAAGTCTGTGCTACAGTGATGAAGGTTTGATATTCAAATTCTGAAGAGGATGGCTAATAGGGGCTGTTACAGGTGTAAGAACAGGATTGCCCGGATACTCACATAAAAGGCAGGTAAGTCCCAAAATTTTAGTTGCAGAAAAATCATGACTACCAGGTAGGAAGCCTTATGATGTTTTGGCCCTATAGGGCACTTGAGGAGCAGGAGACCTGGCTAACAGGCCCCCTTCACCCAGAAAGATATCTGAACCTGTATCTCTTGCTTCCAAGCAACAGAGCAGGGGCTAGGGGAAAGGGACCAACCTGTGGTACACATGCCACGAGTGGCATAGGCAGCTTCTGTGTGGGGCACACACAAGATCAGTGAAGGAACAAGCACTACAGTGGCAGATAGAACAGGAAGCAGAAAACAGCAGCAAATCAGGCAGGGGAAGGAGATTGGAGTGGCACTTGGGGAGGGTGCAGGACTCATGTGACATGCCTACCAAAAATGTTGGCCACCACTGGGCTAGACATTACCCAGACCATTTTCCAGTTCTCCTTTTGAAGTATATCCACTGTTCCTAGCCTTGGCCATTTTCAAGGAGCCTAGGCCAAGCTGCACAACTGTGGCTAAGCACAAGGCCCCAGAGCCAGGCCCTGTGCAGCACGTTGAGCTGGGGCAGAGCAGCTTCAGGATGGCACACTGACACCTTGGGCCCCCTGCCAGCAGGGCTGCTCTGCCTCAGCAAAACGTGCTGCGGTCCCCAGTGCATGTGTAAATGCTGCACTTGGAAGCAATAAACTCTTGTGCAAACTGCCCCCCCAAAATAAAAAAAAAAGTGCCTATAATGTAGGACAACACTTTCATTTTTACTTACATTTATATCTGTATGGTATATGAGAACACACAGCGCTGGCAAAATCTGGAAAAAAAGTTCACAAAATTTAGTGCCATTTCTCCATTGCAGAAAAAGCCACTACTTGGACAATTACAGTGATCTCCCCAGCTACTTACGAGAGATGATGTTAAATTACCAAACACACTAAAAATAAGCACAGAATTAATAAGTATCCCCAAATGCTTTGTAAATTTCTAGGATTACTAGTTTACTTACATTCTACTTCACTGAAAGTAATTTCATTTGAATAATTACTTGTATATACAGAACCATGTTTGTAGTAGTCTCTTGTTTGGTGCAAGTCTGAAACTACTGACTAAATAACTGCACAAGTAAACACATTCTACAGCTTTCAATTTTTTTGACAACTTTACTGTAATTCAGGTTAAAGATTAGGTAACCAGTATCCACTCTCATATGTAACAATTAAAATTAACAACCAGGTAGTGCCATACACATTTATGAAAGTTTTAGTTCACGTATCCACATGAAAGATTTGGCTCCTAACCCAAAATTAAGGTATAAAAGTTGTGCGCGCCATTATAATTCTTTATTTACCTCCTGAACTGTCTCCATAGGCGGTGGGGGGTCCTTATTCCTGCAGAGATTTACTATGACCCATGTGACGTTCCGAAGGAAGGTGATGGGAATGGAGGGATTGATGAAGGACAGAAGAGGTTTGACAACTCCCAGTGATATGACATAATCTCTACACTGAGGACCATCACCTACAGAAATGAAAATTGTTTAAAAAAAAAAAAATTACATTCAAGATGGGAAACCTTGAAATGTATGCAATGATTTAGGTTGGGATACTGAAATTCTATGTTTCCTCATCAGTAATCTGGTACCAGAAGTTGCTGTTAAATAAAATTATAGGAGGCACAAATTTATCCTATTAAAATTTCATATAGCAAGTGAAGCTACTAACTCTTCAAAAATAAGAATAAGTATATAAATATGTACTCTTGCCATGTGAAATATTATATTAAATTATAGCATTTAGAGGAAACATAGTCTTATATGGTAATGCCAATGTTCAAAAGTCAGATTAAAAAATTAAGTGGTCCCTGATTTAATTTAAATTATTTTACAAATACAGTTAACACTTACCTATAATATTTCCAAGGGCCCAAACAGCTTGCTCACAAACATTCTGATGTGGTGAATGGAGTAGTCTCAAAAAGAGTGGTACTGCATCTACAGAATGAACAGATTGGACTAGCTTTAGTGGGACATGGTTGAAATAGTATGTAGTATTTTGGTCTGTTATTAAATACTTATACAGAGCATTAATAATTTAAATTTGTAATAGTGGCTGATAATTAAGATTAAAAAAATACTAATCTAACCACTATGCACTTACAATCTACATCTACAATACTGTATCTAAAACTCTTAACGTGTTTTATTCCAGACCTGAAGGAAATGCCACATCATGTAACCACTAACTTCGCTGCCCCACATAGTCAAAACTCAAATCTCTCTGCCTTCTACATTACCAGCAATTTCAGTTAATATAAGTGTGTATTACAAAGCAAGACAGCCAAGTCCCATCAGAGACCAATTGGCTATTAATTTTACCAACAAACTGTGTTGCATTTGAACAGATGACACAGGGATAAAAAGAATCCATATCAGTAGTACTTCCCCTAAGCTATCCTGTTTCACCTCATCCAGCTCATTTCTTGAAGGGGAAGCTTATTTTCATTTATTTGCTCACTATCTTACTTTATCTTATAGACCTGTTAAAGAAACTAAAAATCAACTAATATACTGATGAATAAGATTGCATTTTACCCTCTGCATTCTGTAAATCCTAAAATACTCAAGCTACGGAAATTAAGGTATATTTTTTATAGAATAATATGCAACAAAATTGTAAAAAAAGACACAATTACTATTGGTAATTTAATGAGATAATTGGAGGCCATGAATGAGCAAGATCAATGGAAACATTATACACACTTAAGGTGAACTGCAAAGGAATTTGATAAAATTACCTAAAGATTAGTAACACAGCAGTATCCTTCAATAGATAAGTTAAGAGGGTATTCAGCATATCAGCACTTAAAAACATTCCTTCTTGAGTGCCTGTGAAATTCAGTATCACTGATCCGGCAGCTCTACTACTCTGATGGAATATTCCTGCATCCCTTTCTTGACAACCAAGACTAACTACACTGTGGAACTTGACTGGAACACAGAACCAACCTCCAGTAGTTGGGGGGCTTAAAGTAAATAGTTCATATTAGATTCAAAAAATGCATCCATAATTCTTCTATAAGAGCTAGAGGAAAAATAGCTCACTTTGACAGTACTACATTTTGGAAAAGAAAACATAGCAGTTGAGGAGAAAAACAAACATGCATAACATCAAGAGCATCTAGACATCGTGTCTTGCTCTTTTTGTAAGAAAAAAGAATCACTGTACTTTTTCTGCCCAACATGACAAAGGAATATAGTCTCGTGGGGTAATCTGTGTAAGAACAACTGTGTGGAAAAGCTGTTTAACCTCAAGAGACATGAGAACCGTAGACACGATCTTCAGATTTTGCTGTTTCTCTGCAATTCTGACTTCATTCTGCAAGTTAATGCAGATTTAAAAAGTTAACTTTATACATCTAGTACTGGCTGTTCTGAAAGTATGTAGCTGCCCTCTTAATTCAGTTTTGCAAAAATCTGTCTTCTAGTTGAACAATAACCTGAACATGTGAGATTCACTATTTAAATGTTAAAATTAAAACATGAAGAGTTTTTCTGTAAAATTCAAAATCAAGGCCGATTCATGAGCCACCAAAGTCAATAGGAGAACTTCCACTGATTTCCATGGACTTTGGATTAGGTACATAATGCAAATAATTATACAGTAAAATACAGCTGTGCAAAAAGTTAAAAATCAAACTGTCAGCAATAAGCTTTCAACATCAACCAGGGGTACAACCACAAAAGAACTGCAGAGAGGGGAACCCTCACCTCAGAAGAAAGTTAAAGTATATCCCATTTACTTAATCTGGTACTCGCTTCATGTGCGTTTGCTCTTGGGCCTCTAAACGGCCATCAATCATACAGCTAGCCTACAGGACAAAATCCTTGATATCCCATTTGTGAAGGAGAGCCTGCTAAGACTATCTAACTCAAGTATTCTTAAGACCCAGAAGGTGCATTGCTTCCAGGTGTCTGGTGATAAATAAGGATCCTGGTCTTCCCTGATAAAAAAAATAAAAATAAAAAAAAATCACAGACTCTGATATAAAAAAAAAACAAAACTGTAAATTCTTTGATAAACCCCCCAAAATCTGTGATTAAACTGAATGGCCACTATATATATAGGTATCAGTTGAAGACAATGTTTTCTTGATATATTTACAATTTTAAAGCAATTTGGAAGCCTACTTGTGCCTCAATCACTATAATAAAATACATTCTAAATACCTATCCATTTTGGTATTTGATTTTGGGTTTTTGGTTTTTGTTTGTTTGTTTTTTTATCATGGAAAGTCAGAGCTCCCCCTCCCTCCTTAGCTCAGAGAATGCAGGTCCAGGCTTGGCCTTGGGTGAGGGGTGGGGCTGGCTCCCCCAGAAATGTGTGCGGGACAGGGACAGGCTGCCCACTGCAGGCTTGGGCTCCCTGCCCTACCCGAGCCTCTTCAGCTCAGGGGATGCAACTCAGCGCTACAGGGCACAGCTGGGCTGCATGGGAAAGCTGCTTGCCGCTGCAAGCTCCATGCTGCCTTGGAGGTGTCCCCTACCTGCACAGCAGCAGTGGGGGCAATGGCGCAGGGTTGCGCTCCTTGCTGTGGCAGCACGGGCAGAGGACACTTTGCCAGGGCATCCCAGAGCCTGCAGCGGTAAGCAGCTTCCCTTGCGTGGCCTGCAATCTTGGGTTGCACCTGCCGGGCTGCGGAGGCCCTGGGAGATGGCTGTAGGGCAGGGAGCACAAGCCTGCGCCTGCCCTGCACACAGATCTGGAGGGCATGGGTCCCCCTGGGCCCCCCGGGGAGTGCGCTCAGTGGCAGGGAGCCAGCCCCACCCTGCCGCAGGCCCATCCTGCTCCCTACTGTGGCCCTGCATTCCAGCCCTGGGCCCCAAGCCCTATGTACCACCTGGCTGGGCAGCAGTCCCAGTCCTGCCCAACTCCCTCCCTCCCTGAGGGCCTCAAATCCCCTCCCCCACTTACCTGAGGGAGCTGCTCTCCAGGCTAGCTGGTGGCCACGTGAATATACACGCACATGGCGCCCCCTGCCTTACTGTCCTCCTCCTGCTCCCCCCAGCCCCTTGCAACCTGGAACTCTGCCAGCCTGCAGAGAGCTGTTTGGAAAAGTGCAAAATCCATGTGTTTCTGTTAAAATGAGAAATCTGTGTTTTCTTTGGTTAAAGAAAGGCTGGATACCTTCAAGTCAGCCGGCCCTGATGGGTTACACCCAAGGGTACCCAGGGAGCTGGCAAGCATCATAGTTCAGCTCCTGGCACAGATCTTTGAGAACTCTTGGCGCTCTGGTGAAGTGCCCTATGACTGGAAGAGGACCAATGTCATGCCTATCTTCAAGAAAGGGAGGAAAGTAGATCTGGCAAACTACAGGCCCATCAGCCTGACCTCTATCATGGGGAAGGTCTTGGAAAAGATTATCAAGGAGGCCATCCTTAACAGACTAGCTGAAGGCAATATCCTGAGGGATACTCAGCATGGGTTTGTTGCAGGTAGGTCTTGCTTGACCAATCTCATTTCCTTTTATGACCAGGTGACTTGTCAGCAGGACAAGGGGGAAAGAGATCGACGTTGTATACCTCAACTTCAAAAAAGCCTTCTATCTGGTATCCCACGATCACCTCTTAGCTAAACTGGCTAACTGCAGCCTTGACGTCACCACGATCCGCTGGCTGGGGAATTGGCTCCGCAGTAGGACCCAGAGGGTGGTGGTTGATGGGAGCCAATTGTCTTGGTGCGCTGTGACCAGTGGGGTCCCACAAGGCTCTGTCCTGGGGCCTATACTATTTAACATCTTCATCAATGACGTGGACATTGGTGTCAGAAGTGGACTGGCCAAGTTCGCCGACGACACCAAACTCTGGGGTAAAGCATCCACACCTGAGGATAGGAGGGTGATCCAGACAGATCTGGACAGACGAGAACCTGATGGTGTTCAACACTGAAAAATGCAAAGTTCTCCACCTTGGGAGGAAAAACCTGCAGCACTACTGAGCCTATAAGCATGCTACACTGGTTAGCACTACAGGTGAAAGGGACTTGGGGTTCATCTTGTGATCAACCATGAGCATGACCCTTCAGTGTGATGCTGCGGCTAGTAAAGCGAGCAAAACACTGGCTTTTCTTCCTAAAAGGTTTTCTGTACTCAGCCTTGGTGAGGCTGCAGTTGGAGTACTGCATCCAGTTTTGGGCTCCACAATTCAAAAAGGATGTGGAGAAGCTTGAGAGTGCAGAGGAGAGCCACGTGCATGATCAGAGGTCAGGAAAACAGACCTTATGACGAGAGGCTGAGAGCCATGGGGCTCTTCAGCCTGGAAAAGTGCAGGCTCAGGGGTGATCTGGTGGCCACCTATAGGTTTATCAGGGGTGCTCATCAGGATCTGGGGGAACATTTGTTCACCAGAGCCCCCCCAAGGGATGACAAGATCGAATGGTCACAAACTCCACTGTGACTGATTCAGGCTGGACATAAGAAAGAACTTCACTATCCGAGCCCCCAAGGTTTGGAAAAGACTGCCGCCAGAGGCGGTTCAAGCACCCACTTTGAATGCCTTCAAGACATATTTGGATGCTTATCTTGCCAGGATCCTATGACCCTGGCTGACTTCCTGCCCCTGGGGCAGGGGGCTGGACTCGATCCTACTGTCTATGAAATCTATGAAAGGGGAAAATCCACATTTTTCTCCTTTTTCCAGTGGGAGATGGAAAACCCAGATCCCTGGTGATAAACACACCAATTCCAGATGTTGAATACATTTTCCCTATTTGTTATAAAACTTGGTTGCAGCAGTGTCCATCATAAACTGCATATGAGGCCCTGTAATGATGAAGAGATGTTTGACAAACCTGTGGACCGCACTGAGTTCCTGGATATTTAAAATGTAGCTTCTCTTCAGGATGACCCCTTCAAGATCCAGATTTGCACATGAAGGCTGTTTGCTCATGCCCCTAAACTTGATAAATGATGGCTGTGTTGAAATAACTCTCTCCT